TCGGATCAAGTAAGTTCTATACCAACTATAAGTAGTTATTCCAGCAGCATGACTAGTATGGTTTGATAACTTTGAAGATTTCATGTAAAAATGTCATATGGTGCCTATAACTTAAAAAACATGTAAAATAGTATAATGAATGGATCTGCCTTAAACTCCTTGTGTACAAGAAACTCCAACCGCTATTTTTGTGAGGCTTCCATGCAACGGTAAACAGAATATGCCACAAAATCACTGGGGTGCTGAGGAGGGTGTTTAGGACAAGCAAGTGCCCCAGGATGATGTCTGCCCTGGTAGAAAAAACCAGCTCACCTGGAAGAAGGTGCTTTCGGAGCATTGCCTCCACAGGGACTCCGACCGGGGCTTGTTCTGGCAGTACTTCTCATACATCTGGAAATCCTCTCGCTGTAAGGCAAGCCGAAAAGCAAGTCACATGCATGCACGCAAACCTGCTGGGCAGTCAAATAAGGTGAACACCCAAACTCTAAATTTGCATTTATCTCCGCTGCCAACTGTAGTATCTAAAAGTCTTGGGTAGAAGAACCACTGCTGGGAATCACAGCAGACCACAGCATAGTCATGACTGCTGCCCTCCCCCTTCTGCTGCTGGCCACGTACCTACGCTCCCTGCCTTGCTGCTGGTATTACGTATCAGAAGCATCTTACTCAATTGACATAACTGAGATATTGCAGAGTGCGACAAATCAGGAGAAACATTGGCCTTCAAGTCTGCTTTATACGTGAAAATGAGTCACCCACCCTGTCTAGGAAACAAAATCCCACTCTCTCGGGTGCTCCCAGGCAGCTTTCCAGACTGTGCAGGAAAATTCTGCAAGAGATGGGAGAAGAGACAAAATGCAGTGGTGAGCAAGGTACAGCTTGGGTATTTAACCATTATAGGAAATCAGCCTGACAAAAAGGGGAAATAGAGCCAGGATCGTACTTGTTGTGGAAGTCGTATATCTCAGGCATGTTTCCAAAGAGGACATCCTTCCTGTTCCTCAGTACAGGAGGCATGAGGATGAGCATGGCGGGGTTATCCATCTCAGCTCTGTAGCCCTGAAGGATGCAAAAGGGGCTCATCACTCAGTAGCTAAGGCCTTGGCTTGGCATCTCCTCGAAGGCCGATGACAAAGGGACGTGAACAGACTTTCAATACCATCTGCTTTGTTTCAAAGTGCAGCATCCCTTTTATTTCCTTATTTTTGTCCCTAAACCCCTGTCTTTCAGTCCCTGGGCATGTGGGGGTTGCGGTCCTGAAGGGGATGGCTTGGGATGGCTCCCACAGGGCTGGCCAGCACTGCGGAGATGCTCTCTATTCACTAAAGGCGAATCCCAGCCACTTTCTCCTCGCTATGGCCTGACTGCGGGAGAGGTCCCGGAGGAATACCTGTCTGGGTTGAACACATCTGCTGCTACGACTGTGGGACACAGGAGTGGCAACGTGTTTGTATGGGGTACACAGTTACACGCAACCTCATGAGAACCAGTGCACGAGGTGACTTGTTACAAAGCAGAGACAGTTTGAGATCAAATACCAAAATCAATGGGCTTTTTGCTCTTGTACAAGACCTGCTGAGCCCTAGGGTCTCTCTCTCCTCGATGCCTCAGGATTTCTGTCCTCTGTGGCTCCACCTGCCTCTTGGAATCACAGCCTCCCAAACTGGGGGGGAGCTGGAAGGGACACCACTGCACTACAAATTCTTGGGTAGAACTAGGGAATAATGCAAAGCTCCCCTCAGTAACACCACATGACTCCACCAACATGGGAACATTCACCAGATATGGTAAACATCCTAACTGTAGGGTAGGGAGAAGGCATGGCCGGAACTCAGGACTGTCACTGCAAAGAAGACATCAAGAAGGCCATTAGCCACAGCTCAAGCTGGCCATGCTAGTCACCAAGCGTTGTACAGAACCGAGGTCCTTTTAACACGAACAGCAAAAACATTTGCAAAAATGTATTCAGTATGTACGGCATATCTTCTTTGACTTTCCAAATTCATCTCTCACACTCACTATGGTTGGAATCAGTATTCCTTATACTAAGCAGGCATTTTGTAGTTGATTAAGGATGAAGTAGAAGATAAGTATCTGGAAAATTAGTCATTTATATTTAACCACTGCAAGCAGGCTTCCCTCTTTAAAGGAAGTACTATCTTCAGAAAACTTAAGTCTATCTGTCCATTTTTCTCTATCTAGACTTGATATGCACAGTAATAAATCTGCGTACTTGCCAACCACTTTATCATATAGAGTGTGGTTCAACCAAAAAAAACCAATCAGTGCAGGGCAATTACGTGTAACTACCTGCAGTCCAACAGATTTATATCCTGCTTGCTCCTGGGTGAGAGAAATGCTAGGGGAGAGAGCTATTTAACAGCCAGCTTGTTTTGTCCATCAGCAAGAGTTATTTTGGAATAAGGCAGAAGTGTCTGAAATGGCACTATGAGAAATTATAATCTGGTTTCTAAAGAAATGAGCTTTATATGTTCACGAACTTCACAGTATTGAGACAGAATCCTCCCAAGGATAAACCACAAGCTGCTTTCTTTTGCCTCCAAAAGGTAAAAGAAATTAGGGAACAGTTAAAAATAACAGCTTTTCGTATATTTTTTCCAAGCACTGATAAAACTAATTACCGGTGCTTTTGTGTACAAACAGAAGGCTTCTCCCTCCTTCTAGATGAAAAGCTCATCCTGGCACCAACTGTTCCTGCAGATGCTTCCAACAAAGAAAAGCTAGGGAGAAAACTTGAAAATTTATGACTAGCTTGGGATCTAACAGTTTGGTAGAAACCTGCCCCATCACATTTTTGCTTTTGACAGAGTGGCAGGTGCCCTTTTGTACAAGTCACTGGGGAACAGTAATGAGCAGTCTGAAGAAGTCACTCACCGTCAAAACAGTGAAGAGTTCCTCTACGTACACTCTCTCAGTTTCTATAAGCTCATTTATGACATGGCTAAAGTAAAGGAAAAAAAAAAAGTGTATTATTTTTATGTCTGTAAAAAACGCACATGCAGTCAGCGTGGTTCAACTAGCCCAAAACATAGTGCGATCTCATGAACAGCCAACACAGGGATAATAAAACAGGTAAAAGCACAAGAGATAGCACCTAGGTCAGGTTGGAGGAACACATGGATGGGGCAAGGACTGGCAGGAAATAAACATCATTTTGAGTGATGTAAATAGGGTGAAAGCTTACCCTTTTAGTATATCTAAGTTGTCGTCACTGTCTGAAATAAAAGACTGCAAGGAATTCCGTTTTTCCTGATAGTCATGCATTACTTCGATCTGGAAGAGAAATGGGACGCACTGGGAAGAGCTGCAGGGAGGTCAGTGCAGAGGCAGGCCAAGCCCAGCCCCTGATGTCGGCATGGGAACTCCTTGGGGAAGGATGAAATACACTTCCTTTTAAGAAATCCTTTGTGACACAAAACTTTAAAAGGGCATAGCGTATAATGGGTAGTCAAATATTCCCAGAAATTACTCTGCTACATAAAATCTGGAAATACTGGTAACATAATTCATTAGTGCAGAGACCAGAGAACAGTTTCCACAGGGAAAATACCTGTGGATGGGGAGTTTTCCTAATATACATCACTGTTATGCAAAGAAAACATTCAGGGAATAACACACAAGAAATCAATATCTGTGACTTGGAAAAACAACCCAAGACAGATCGCAGGTGCTGGGCTAATCCAGCTAAACCATATGGATATGAAAGGGGGTTTGGGTATTTTTGTTTAAAAGGGAAAAAAAAAAAGAGCATCTTAAAATCCAGTCTTAAGTACAATCACTTTTTAGAAGGGTTTCAGTTTTTCAGTGTATAAAACTCATTCAGATTTCATAACAACTTTTACCTTGCGAGAACTTAGAGTTTTTCTTGATGTTTTCTTCCCAGGGAGAGAGAGATCAAATGAGAATTTCAAACTGGAATTAAAATCCACACCTTGGGTAGAAAAAACCCATAATTATTAATGTACCTCTATAGTGAAGGAGATGGTTCAGACAGAAACTAATAAGTCACAAAGAAAAATGGGATACATTTTAAGAATGAATAGTTAGTTAGCTAATACTACAAGCAAACTGACAAAATAAAGGATATCTCAAGCAACAATACTAATACCAAATAACACAAGTCACACAGATGGTCATAAAGGCCATAAAGTAAAAAGTAATCAGAAAAAACAAAATGTCCATTAAGTGAATACTGTAATCAAAACCTAACAAAGTCTGTGAAGCCTGTGCAAATGATAGAAAACAATAAAATCAAATAAACTACCAAAAGGAACATCACCTACTGGGATACTGTTTTAAAGTCCTTTTATGAACGTAGGGCAAGATGCTCAGCTGGTATAAACTGTTCCTCCACCTTGGAAGAATTTATTGATATTGTCAGTAAATAATTACAAGTTGTAATACTTTGGGTTGCAGAGGTAAATTGGAAGCTTAACAATAAAACATCAATCTCCCCAACGAGTTATGTGGCATCTTTCAAATACTTCTTACTCCTGAATCATCAATATGGCAATTCTTCACCAAAAGGGTCTTTTCCCCCAGCATGAATGGCAATAATGAATTTCACAGCATCGTGCCAGCTCCAGCCTCAGCAACAGCTCCACGTGCCAGGCTGCAGCCCCAATGGCTGCACCAGATTCTGAGATGGACCAAAAATAAACACATTCTGATGCGCAATATTCACCTTATTTACAAACAGAAAAAAGAGGCTAGCAAAGTAAAGAAAAAAAAGTAACTGAACTAATGAACCATTCCATTTCCATTAATTTCTAAATTAATTCCTAATTTCCATCAGGGTGAAAAAAGGTAACACAGCACATATGAATGCAGCAGCAGCTGTGTCTAGAGCGACGGTTTGAGCAGTGCTGACGCTGAAGAGCCGCCTTTTGTGAAGCAGAAGATGTAGGGAGAAAAATGGATGGAGAGGAAGGCAAACCCACGTGGAGAGCAGGCGCCCCATCTGCAGATGGGGCTGCTGCAAGGTAAAGCTATTAGATATTACCACACCGAGGCCTCAGACCTCCATGTGTGAACACACCAGATGAGGAGAGAGGTCTGGATGCTGGAGAGCGGATCAGAGGCATGCGTGGGGTGTGACCCATCATGGACAGGAAGACCTAAAAGAAGTGAGGACTTGCCAGTGGCCCTACTGGGAGACTCCCGCTGGAGGGAAGGGAACATGGAAAGGAAGTTAGACGGGAGACGGCCACCAGCTGCAGCTGGTGTTTTCTTGCAAAAGCAACTTTACTCCAGCACCTGGACTCCGCCACAGCCTGCCACACCGCTTCTGCACATCTCACTACATTTTACGGCTCAGGACAGGATAGGTTTGCTGTTTTTTCCCCCAAAAAAGTGGTTTCAAAATTAGAACCACATTTATCAGACAGGCTTCAAATCTAGGGCAAAGATGAAAGAGGAAGTGTCTGTCCTCAGACAGAAAGAGAAGGGGGGGGGAACAAAAGAAAGAAAAAGAGGACAAAAGTGATGTGCTCAGAGGTGGTGTGGTTTCAATCCACGCCATAAAACCCATCCATCTCAAAGCACTCCCAGCGGAGCCCAGCATGCCTCTTTGACACTGCACATCCCGCCAGCAGGCCCGCAGCAGTTTGATGTTTTGTGTCAAACAGAGGCCCTATTAAAAAGCTCTCTTGGCATGATCTATCCAAAGAGAAGCCTTTTGTCTTTCCCCGCTTGCTGGTTATGCTCATTTCAACACACTTGATCATCTCTTTGAAAAAGACGATTAATGGAAGATACCTGCGCTTTGCAGGCAACTGAGGGCCGTAGCTAGAAAAAAGTGCATCCCATAAAGGCGTGAAATAAGTCCAGCCAACTGATGATGGTCTCACAACATCCCACGGAGGTGGCCACCCATTTACACCTTCTCTTTAAGTTAATAAATCCTCCTTAACACTTTCTTGTTTCTAGAAAGCTGGAAAAGTTACATTAGGTAAAATGGGGAGCACTCCAGTTTAAAGACTCAGAGATTTTTTCCTGATTGAGGAAAGGGGTTCAGATGGCCATGTGGTTTAGTGAAGGTGGCATCGGCCTGAGGAAAAGGAAATTTGGGATTTACGTGCTTCGCTGGCCTGCATTTTGAGCAGCTTAGTTCCCCTCACTGCATCTAGCTTCATTCCATCCCTCCACTAGCTTGGTTTTTTACACTAGTCACTCCCTGACTTGGAGCCACTTGTACTGTTTGCATGACACCTGCCACAATTCACCATAACCAATATTCATTAATTCATCATAAAAAAATTTGTGTTAAAACACAGATGTTTAATTGCTTTATACAGTCAGATCACTGAATTTAATATTCCCACATAACTCAGCATGTCCCTAGTTTAAAATATATGGACGTTACCTTGGAATACTTTTTAATTCTGATACATACAGCACTGCCAAGGACGAAAGTTTTAATGTTATCATTTAAAGCTAACATTGTGCCACATCCCATTACCACAATCAAGGCAGAACATTCGGTGACCTCAGTTCACCAGAATTTGTACCTTTATGGGCATTAATTATTCCACAATTGGGATTTAAGGAAGACATTCTCAAGGAATCAAAGGGAGTTAAGCATCCAGCTCATTTCTGTTCATGAGATTTGAGCTCCTCATTTCTCCAAACTCCTTTGCAAACATCAGTCTAACTCTGTGTCAGTTCCAGCTCAAGACAGTTATGGAGACTGCCACAGAGAATAGGTATGCTAATAAATTTATAAACCTTGCCCTTTTTCCCTGTAGTACTAATTCACCATTTTTCAGCCAAGTAGGATGCTAGTAAAGCAGAACTGGAAGTATGTGCTGTTTACAGCTTTCTTTTTTCACTGAGTAGGAAGTGAAAATAACTACCAAGCAGCCAGCCCCATTCTTCACACAGGTATGGGAAGCTAGACACAAAAATTGGAAAGATAAGTAACCATCTCAGGTACATTTAGCATTATACAACAACTCTGTATCAGCCAGCAAGGTCTAGCTGGTTTCTCAAAACAGTCCTTAGCCTTACTCTTCCTGCCTCAAAGCAATATTATAATCTGAAAATACCATAAACTTAAAATATTTTACCATGTTTAGGAGAGAATAATGGTGATTTTGATCTTGGTGGATTTTCTGGCCGAGGGGCTACTAATTGGACGGGCCGCACGTGTTTATCCAACAGCTTCTTGAAGCAAGACTGCCGATTCTCAAACATGCTTCGAACATTTTCAAGCTTGACCTGCACTGACTGTATCTGGCACTGTAGAGAGTGAAAAAGACTCCCGTGATCAAATAACTACCATTATTTTGCACTTTGACCCAAAACAGAGGACTATAAAGCTGACAACACTGCAGCACAGTCCGATCTTGCTCTTTACTTGTGTAACAAGGAACTGGAGGGGTTGCTTACCTTCAATTCAGATGTTAAGACTGACTCAAAATCATAGTGTAGGGCTTGGGGATCATAGTTTAAGTAGGCTGAAGAGCTTTCAAGAAATCTTTCTATGTCCTGGAGAGCTTTCTGAGCGCCTTCTTTAGACTGGCACTTATCCATCTGCTGGTTGGCGAGCAGGTAGGCACCTTCATCACAGCACTGCAGAGCCTGGTTAACAGCACAAGGCAAACACAGGGTGCGAGACCATCAGCCACACCCCTACTAAATCAAGGGCCCCATGAGGAATAAATATCATTTACCGGATCTGTATTTTCAACATGGAGATAATTAGTACTCCTAAAGAGCTCAGCAGCTATTGCATTTTGATCAGAAAGTAGAAAGGCCACATTTTTTCTGGAGGATGACTGCAGTCCTCAACACACCCAGCCAAGACGCGCTCCCACTTGTACCTGGATAAAACCAGCGGTATTGTCATTATGTTGTGTCATTTCAACAGCACTATTTAGTGCTTAGTTGAACCAAATGATAAGCAGATCTTTATTTCTCCAACTCAGAAAGCTGAAGGGGGCACTACAGAGTTCACAATGAGACAGGTGGATTTCTTGAGATAAATGCCTGGCTCAGTGCAGACCTGAACTGCGAGAAATTATCAAAGTAATTGCATTCACGTTTCAAAAAAAAAATAAGGATTTTAAATTGCATTTTAAAGTTGTACATTTAACATGCACAGGTAAAGCTGAGCACCAGGCAGGAGTTCAGTTGGCACTCGCACACTGTGGTGTGCACCAGTGTGAGAAGATGCTGCAGCCAAGAACAAGAGGACCTCCAGTGCTGTGAATGGGAAGGGAGACCATGGAGAGCAGGACCACGGTGTGCTCCAGCAGAGCCCATGAGCTAGACCACCAGCACCAACCAGGACTGCAAGAACCCCAGGAGAGGACACAGCCCTGCAGCTTAGAGGCTGCCGAGGTATTGTCCGCCCCCACAGGTTAATGCCATATTGAAGTGGAGCATACAGAGAAAAAAAAAACAAGTTCCCTAGTCCCGCGAAACAGTGAAATGGAACAGGGTCAAACTTCGCTGCTTCTCTTAATGGCCTCAAGCATATTACAGTCGTGTGCCTTCTGGCCTAATTAGCATGAATTTCCCTAAATGATTTTTTGATGCTGATTAAGATATCAAAGAGCATTGGAGCCACATGACTCCACTTCCATGCTAGCACACAGCAGCTGCGCCTATCTACCAATCTGTCACCTCATTTTACAGTCAGCTATGTTCATGCTTAATAAATCGCTAACAAAAAAAGGCTGGAGTTTATCTGAAAGCATTACCTCTATGCAGGTATGAAAACCTCAAAAGGCAATTAATACATGGATGCATCATGAAAGCATGAGCAACAGCAGCAGCTGAACTCTGGTGTTCTGAATTGTCCCCTGGAGATGCCCACCTCTTTCTGCTCACTACTCACAGCACCAGCAGATACCCGTTTGCTAACTTAACCAGCTAAGTGAGGGATGAAGCGCTCCTCCAGCCTCTGGGGAGCACTCTCCTATCATGAACTGTTGAAGCAAAGCTGCAAATTCCAGATGCTTCCAGCTATGAAGCGGAGAGGCTAATCCTACGGACAGGTAACTATCTACTTCTCAGGGCACCGTGCCTCTGAGCTCTACCTGCTGAAGGCGCATATGAAGATCCAAGGTCTTCTGCAGCCGCATCTGCTTCCTTTTGATCTCATCAGACAAGACATCAGAATGGTGCCGCAGCTCGTTGCATTGCTGGCAAATTAAGTTGAGTGCGTAGTGATGATTTGCTGCTAGCTGGTGTCCATGTAGTATCACCACCTGAGTCTTCCCTATCAGATCCTTCAGTGAAAAGAAGAAAATGGATTGCACACTTACTGAAGTAATGCCAAAATATCTACATGTAACAACATGCACTGTCTCGTCTTACAAGATTTCAGGTACCCGTGGAGATGACTGCCATTAGGAGTAGCCAGAACGGGTGGCTTACACAGGATAAAATGGCACCCATCATCTGGGGAAAAAAAAATTTTGCTATCCAAAAGGAGGATGAAGAAGAAAACAGTATTTTACCAAACTAGCAATGCTGTGAATGGCTGCTGGCAAGGTATTGCTGTCATCTCCAGGAACTGCACTCTAAAAAAACCGCACCTGATGTCCACTTTAGGCACACTATGCTCATAAGCATGAAAAGGAATTTGAGCAGTTAAGGTTTATGGTGAAAATAAACCAGGCTCTTTGCAGCAAAGCTTGATGTGAAGAACACGCTATCTTGTCGGCACATCTTGGTCAGTGTAATGGTTACATCTTCTCCAAGGCTGGCTTTCTGCTGCAACTGCTTCCCTGTTGCACCCTGTCTGCCTGGCCTTTTGTTCCTCCTCCTTCTCTCCACAAACATTTCTTCCAAATGGCCAAAAAGCATTAGACCTTTCCCCTAGGACTCTTATTTTCAAAAAAGCCTGTGGGCTTTGTGTCCAGATCCCTCAGGATTTCTCCACTGACCCTGGCCCACTTGCCAAGCATATCCCTTTACAGAAGTCACATCCTCAGTTGGGCTCCTGTGAATCATCTCTCTTCACTCTTCTTTCCCCTACATCTCTTAGTCTTCATCCATATGTTATGTTCAAATCACAGACACGTCAAGATAGCAACTTTTTTTGCCTCTCCATGTGCCTGGTAACAAGTCTCTGCCTATTAGCACTGCTAAAGCACTTAACATATAAATAATTCTTCTTCCAGCTCATTAACTCCCACGCCTCCCCTATGTTCAGGCATTTATCTGTTCTGGATTTTCACGGTGGCTCAGCAATTTATTTTAACTATGATAATTAAGTACCCTGTTCCTGGCTTTCAGAGTGATCACAGCATTGCTGCACAGAGCAAAGACATGAAATCAATCCTTTTGTGCAGCCACTTACCAATTAATTCCATCAGAACCAGGTAATTTCAGAAAACACCTCCTACCACAAATACAGAATGTGTCTCTTGTGTTTCATTAGTGCCTCTTCCTGTGAAAGATTATCTCACCTGAGCCATACCATCAAAATGACCCAAGTCCTTGAGCCTCTGTTTTACTTGGGGGACACTGTCACCAGTGTCGGGCAGCTCCGCTTGCTGACCCATTAAAAATTCAATGGCATTCTTGACCTAGACACAAAGAAGAAGACTGCTGCAAAAGGATACAAAGCACAGGCAGAAAATCATTCTCAGACCAAAATTAATCACACTTTAGCTAAGACTGCTAAATCCAATAATAAAACTAGTGTCCAAGAACTAATTTCTAAATTCAAAGATGCTTCTATCAGCAAAATCTATGCGACTGCAGGGCAGTGATACCTAAATTAGCTCTGAATGAGGAAGCACAGTGGTCTCCCCAAGCTAGCTAGCCCTGCCAGAATCAAGGAAGAGCAGCATAAATTAAACAGTCTCAAAATAAAAAGCATAAAAACTTCTCTGCTCTCCCCTCCTTTTTGTCTCCAACTCTTCCTTCTGCGAACAGAAGTGCATCTGATCATACCTCTTGAAAACTTTGCTCAAACTTCCACAGTTGTAAATATTGCTCCATTTTTAACTGGTGTTTTTCCCAGAAGCCATCAAAAGCAGTCTCCATCTCATGCAGCTGACGAAGTAACCTTGAGCACAGAAAAATGACAGGATTGGAACAATTTGCAAACACAGGACAAGCAGAGATGGACAAGCCCTAGAGATCACCTATTCAGGTCTTCTGGACCCAAGCTCTCAGGAGAGGTCAACGGACATGTATATATGACTTGTGAAGATCTCAGAGAGAATTTTAATGAAATCATCACTGCAGATGACAGCACCTGTGTGTAGCAGTTGTTGCCATCTCCATTTACCTGAACAATATTTGGGAGCCTGGCATGGGAAAACTCTGCTCCACAGCCTCAATGTATCAGTGGGGGAAAAAATCAGAGCAGGTCCAAGTCATTTGACTGAAGTCACCCAACAACTTGAAGAGTCTGGAGCAAAACTCCAGTATCTTTGTCTTTACCTGTTTGATAAGTGACCTAAACAACACATCTACACTTAAGTAACTTGAGTGTTTCCACTCAAAAATCAAGCAAATTAGGAACATAGTGCACTCACCGATTCACAGTCTCCCAGTCCCCAGGCCTCTCGTGGTGTTGGTCCTGACTGCAGTCCCCGGAGCCAGGCTCTTCAAAACTGCTCAAAAGCAAGTTTCCCTCTTTTGTGACTGCTGTAATATCCTCCTGTATAATGCAAAACATTTCTGATTCAGGCTACTTTTTTTGTGAGGTAAGGATAAGCCATTTCATGTTTCTCCTGCCTTAGTTTCCCTGTATGAAATGAAGCACCAGTCTCCATCAGACCAAAGGACTCCAGCAGATGTTTTAGTCCCCTTAATCTAGGGTTAGCCCCCGGAGCTGGAGGAGGCTGAACCATGGACCAGTCGCCAGACTGGGTGGAAACTGGCACACATGAAAACATCAGGCCACAAAATGATTCAAGAGGCAGGAGGACAGCACTACCACAGGTCTCTCTTGGTGAGCACGTGGGTTTGTGATAGATATCTACCTACAAGTTCATGTATTCAAGCAAGTATTTCTGCAGCTTGGAGACTGCTTCTCCATCAAGGTCAGCACAGGAGGTTGTAGGAAGAGCATCCCATAGTGAGACAAAGCTGGGACCGAGACCATATTGCACCACTTACTAGAGCCTCTATGTATAGAGGCAAGTCAGCACTTCCAATACAACCTCCACTTAGGGAAAATTTAAACCCTTGGTGTCTTCATTATCATCAGCTGAGGTGCTTTGTGCTGTGTGCAAGCAGGTGCATTTAGTCAACTATTTTCAGAAAAAAGAGACCAAACACAGAGGTGAGAAGGAAGGAGAAAATAGATGTGGCTGATGAACTGAGTTGGAAGAAGCCCTGAAGGAGAGACCTGTGCACGGCTCCATTGGAGAGCCAGCTCCTGGAGGAGTAAGCAGCCCATCCTAGGAGATGGCCAGACTTCCATTGCAAGAGAACCGATGGCAAAACCACTTTAGGGAGAAGATTCAGAAAGCACAGACTTGCTTAAACGCCTGCCTGCCCCAGACAGCTCACAGCAACCTAAACATAACAGCACCTTCAGGGCAGCAGCCCAGGAGCAGAAGGACACGGCCGCAGGAGCTTCTCTTCTCCCACACACAAAGTGTCTGCTGCTGGTTTGCATCCTTATCACTAAAACTTCATGGAAGATGACCGCAAGGCAAAAACCCCATCTCCTTTTGATACTACCACATCCAGGAGACTCAAAAGGGAAGAGGAATTAAGCAGCATGCTTTAGACCGCAAGTGACTGGTATTTCATCATCTTACATCTCACTCTCCAGAGCCCTGTGTTCGCCTTTTGATTCAAAGCCTTTCATTATACGTACGACAAAGTAGCCCAACTGTCAAACAGGTGTTAACTTGATTTTTTCCCATTCAGTATATCAAAGAGGTTAATTTCTTAGTTACTCTGTTAAATTAATTTCTGTCATTTTTTCATTGTGTGTGCAACCAGCTTCTGTTCAGTATCACAGCTACATAAATTATTCTGATTGACTCATTATCTGAATTCAGGAATCAGCTGTACCAATCCTGGGGTTGTCATGAGAGAGACAAGGATCCCATGTCTTGCTGTCACCACAATCTGTGCACAGTTTCTCATCTGCTTTCATCTTCATGGTGTTAGAAGGAACAAAAGAAAAAAGCCAACAGACTTCATTTCAGTCAAAAGCCAATGAGTGGTTTTGATATTTGAAATTAATAGATAAGGCATTAAAAGCAACAGATGCCTTGTACTGAGCGCTGCTGTGCTTTATATGCAAATGAAAACACATGATGTCTTTTATTTCTCCACATAGTAAAGTGTGTATTAGTGACTGGTTTATACACAGGACTACCTTGTATAACTGATATTTGCCCCCTACACTTTGGCTATAGTCCTAAGCATGAAGTTTAAGTCAGTCAGTCATATTGCAATATATGCAGCTGCGCTTTTATACTACAGCTCTCTTCATTGTCAAAGAAGAAATAAAAAAAACTATTGGCAGTACCTATAGTGATGCTTTCTATACATATGCACATACATTTATGCCTACACACAGCACACTTTGGATATCATTTTGCCTATTTTGTACAGGCAGCCTTCTGGGAGCTCACTGTCACGTGAATGACAAATGATTATAAATGAAAATAGACACACTTCTTTGACTTATGTAAACAAATCCTGTCATAAAGCAAAGGAGCTCATTCTTCAGCCGCACAGCATGGCTATCATTTCTGAAGTGAGGGTTTGGGGACAGATCTGTGCCGTCCCCAGAAAGATGCAGGAGCAGCAAAGACAACAGCTTGATATAGCAGCAGCTGGCTGCACTAAAGCTTCCAGTAACTCCTATAATAATTGCAATCACAATCACGAATAGTTGAAAAAAAAATCTTAAAATATTAAAGACACAAACACTAAGATGAAGCACGAAGGTTCACATGAAGACAGGGATCTCATCACAAATGCTCACAAGAAATTGTCACCTTGGATGCTCTCCAGCACAGTTTCCTTAAGTCCCCCCGGGGAAGCCGCATCAGGCGGAGGGACATGGGGACAAACCATCCCCCCAGACCCGCTGATGATCTTTGCATGCAGCTTCCTCCCACCGTGGGGGTGAAGCGGAGGGAACCCCACCAGGGGCACGAACCCACAGGCAACGAAGGCTCCCACCCGCCCTCCTGCCAGTGAGACGTGCAAAGCCCGCAGGAGGAGCACGCTACAGGCACCAACTTCTGCAGCCAGCAAGGAGGCGGCAGCTGAGACAGTTTGCTGGATGCTGGCAGGGTGATTTGCTAGAGTGGATGGCAAATGTAAGGGTAACATACAGAAATAGTCAAGCTGTGTTTTATTTTGTCTGTCAACACGTACACATGCATGGGAGGGAAGAAGGAGTGGGCACCAAACAAACAGGCAGTCAAACCCCAGAAATCCCATCTTGCTGTGCAAACAAGGGGCTGGAAACATATGGTGGAGCTGCTGCTGAGACATACCTTGAGCTGGTAGTACTTTTCTGTGCGCAGGGCCAGGATGCGCTCAATTGAATACATGTCGTCCGGTAGCTCGGTCTCTGCCAGCTCTGTGCCAAAGGATTGTAACATCTGTGCAATTTCCTTCACGGTTAGTGCAAAACTCTCTATTGCCTGGTAGGAAAGGATAATTGCAGTCAGCTTGGGATTCAGGATATTCCTACAGCTCTTTAAGAGTGTGCAAAGAGCCAAGTCTGAGATCTGCAGGGGAGCCCAGCAGCTTGCTCTGAGCGAGGTGGGTGGGATGTCCACTGCAGACGGAGCTGATGTGTGCTGCGGTGCATGAGCTAGTGCTACCAACACGTGGCCAGGTGGCTTTTAGTGCAGCTGGAATCCACAACAGGGACTTAAATAAGGACAGTATTGGGCAGAGATACCTCATGCTTTGTTTTCTGCTGCCTGTTCTTGTGCACTCTGAGAATTTCCCTAGCACATATTGGAGGTCTATAGTAGAACCCAGCATAGGATCCATCTCACATATTCCTGTAATTCCTCTTCTATCTTCCTTCTCCTCTGGTTAACCCACACTGCGAACCACCTCCAGGCAGTAAGGTTTTGGAGGTGTGTTTGGTTTCTTGGTGATGGACGTTTCCAGCTTTGCAAGCCCAAACGGTGGGTTACAAGGCAGTCTGGCACCACGGCCACCTCATCCACAGCTTCACCAAGAGGACAAAGGAAGAAGCTAAGCAGCGTGCTGGAGACAAACTGGAGACAGTGGGATGGAAGGGAGTGCTGCTGGTACCTCCGCAGCACATCCCAGACAGCCACCGGCAGCTCTGGACACCAGACAGCTCCGACACCATGGGGTGAGGTGGGGCTCTCCCAGCCCCACTCTTTGCTCTGATCTTCTCACCGGTTGCAGGAGGGGAAGAGCATGAAGCTGTTTGCGGCCTGGACTGTGACCGGACAGTTGGATCAGCAAGGGGCTTCCGGTCTCCTGCTCAGCTGGCAGCAAATCACCGCAAAAGCAGAGGACACAGCTTTGCTGAGGCTTGAAAACTTGTCCCCTGGAGGACACACAAAGAGCTCCAGCTCTGCTCTTGGGAACGGGGTAATAAACTCAAATGTAACAGATCGCTTTTATGTTTTCTTTAAACAGCATGTATTTTCCATGGAAATTTCAGGAAATGTTTTATGAGCACACTACAAGGTCATTTTGAGAGAGGTTCTTCATACGGACGCTTATATACCATATGCAGCTATGGTCTAGAAACTCATTCTTTTCTTAGATTAACCCTAACATTTTTTGTCATTCATTTTCTCATTTTTGCCTCCAAGTGTGAGACCTATGCCATTATCACTTTAACACATCATGCAAAAGAACAAAACTAAGAGGCAAAAATTTGAAAAGTTCATTAATTTGGCAGTGCATCAGTGTAAAATGGCAAAAAGCTAATGGCACAAGCAATAGCTTGAGTTATTCCAGCTACAATGTCTTGTGCTTTTGTCTTTATACTGAGCTCCACATCTGCTGGTGTGGATGATGTTGCAGGACAAGGGGCACTAGAATGTCTGGTTTTCATTATTTGATTTGTTGGGAAGGTAACTAGGAATCCAACCTGCCGTTAATCTGGGAGACAAAGTCACAGTGAAAACTAAGAGTGTACAGGAAGTATAAAAACACACAGCAAGGCACGGCTCAGAGAACTAAATGCCTGATTCCTGGCAATATTAAAGGAAAATTCTTGCAAAGAAAAAAAAAAATAGCAAATTTTCTGAATTCTCTGCACTCAGTCAGTATGCAGAGAGCAGTCTCATTGCCCTGGTTCCCAAATACATTTGTGGTGTTAATCACATGAAGCAACCATTATTAAAAAAAAAGCCTATTTGGTATCTACTGTTAAGGGAATTTTAATATAGACTTAAGAAGACGGATCTTTCAAAAGGAGCCTGAGGGAGTTAATCATCCAATTCCCTTATAAACCCACCAGGTGCCTCACGCCACTTGACTCCTTTGCAAATCTGATTGAGGAAAGGTAGTTGGCTTCAGGGGTTACTTTCAGCTACCCATTGCTCATTGCCTTACAGAAAACCTTCCTCAATCGATCCCAAACACCCAAGAGCCCTGTGCTCAGCCCCGGTACGTACAGTCCTGAAGATGACCCACTCGCTGTGGCAGTACTCCAGGGTGCCTCCAAACTCCGGGGTTAATTGCTGTTCATCAATGTATGTCAGCAGGTCGCTAACCGAGCTCAGCATAACAACCTACAAACAAAGCCACACCATTAGTTGGTTGGTTGATCATCACTTCTACCCAAGTCATACATAGATCAAGCCTACAAATCTTTTATGTATCTAAAAACCGGGTTTGCTCTAAATATTGTTCTACAGCATGGCTTCCTTCTTATGCTTATGGCTTAACAGGGCTTTTATTTGATGTATTTGACCATTTTTGTAAGCCAACTCTGATCTCCCAGCTGCGTTCTTCCTTAAATGCAAAGCACAGTGAGATGCTGCAGTACCTGACTGCAGAACAGAGCTGAAAGCAAAAGCAATGCAGGTTTTTGCAAGGGATGACCAGTAATCTGGAAAAAATACATATATTTTAATAAGTTATGAAACACTGGCCAATTTATATATACTCATGAGTTTTTGTGTGTCTTGATCTGCCCTGGGATAAGTCATGAATTTTCAAAACTGTGCAAATGACAATCATTTTAGAGTGAAAAATGCAAAGTTTGTGAAAATTATATTATTTCCTAAAGGAAAACATCAGTTTGGTTTGGTTTATGGGTTTGTAATGCGTCAACCTTAGATTACACAAATGTACTTCTCTTAATTATTCTCATTATGTCCTATAACCAAGGTGGCTTTAGAAGTCTTGGAAACTTTGACTTGAGAATATAAAGCCATTTCAGTTGCTATTATACAAAGAAATACCAACATGATGCTAGTATGGAGTTTACATTGAGATGAAAATGGCGATTATGGGTGGAATTCATAGCAAAAGCTTCACTAGACATGTCTTTCAACTTTTCAGACATTAAACAAATTCCTGGGCATGGATTTATCCTCCACAGAGGCATGCAGCCTACACGGGGGTGAGGACAGGCTGAGAAGCCCACCACCCACTACCACGGACATGCTCTGTGGGGAGCAAACTATGCACAAGGGAGATGAAAAATGCTACAGGAGAGATTTGGTGGAGAGAAATTTGGCGGAAATAGGGCATCACTGGGAGAGACACTCCAGTTACTCTTCACACAGGTGCCTGCAGAGTGCGACACTGACACCTTCCCAACCCAAGGTGCGTGGGCAGCCTCCGATCACGCGCAGGCACACCTCTGCACGCTCGTACCGGTAATTTGAGTAGAAAATCCTCCTGACTGAAACGAAATCCAATGTCAGTGAAGGTGCGCTGGAAAAACCCCGTGGGACGAAGAACCATCACTAAGTGCAGGTTCCCTGGGAAAGACACCTGCAAGGAAACAGAGACAACATTCAACCTGGGGATGTGGCAGGTCCAACAATGGCTTTCAAACGCCTTGAAAAGAGGAGAAATTGTTCAGATCTTAGTATTTTTTTCTGCTCGCCCTGATAGTCTTTTCTTATTTTCAAAACAGGAGGGAAGTGGTTTAGAGATATGGGACATAACTGCAGGAGGGTTGTCCAGTCCCACCTCCCTTTGGAACAGGCAGGAGGTTCAGCCATGCACCTTGGTGGGCCACTTATTATAAACTTTAATACTATGTATTGTGTTCATCATTGTAACCTGGGGAGTGAAATTACGATTTAGCAAGGAACAGAGGGCTGGGGCATCAAGGGGAATGACAGACAGATTGGGGAAGCAAAATTTATTGCCAAACTCGCTAATCATCCCATAACTGCATCAACCATACTCTTCTTGTCCCTGGTAATTATCAGGCAAAGTTTAATTTGTGGTAAGAATTTGGAATTTCCTGTCTACGCTGCTGGAGCCTTTTTACAAGCCTAAGGTTGGCAGGTGCGTTTTTAAATAGATCTGTGAAAAGGGTGCTTGAGAATGAAAAAGAATTTTTAAGAAAGTAGGATTCATATCATTAAATTATGGATAAGTGCATGATGCAAAGAATTGGGTTAATTAAGACACGCGATTTTCTCTGAGATCCTGCCAGGCCAGGTTAGGTTTCTCCATATATTCCTCCTTAAATTATCCTCCTCTGTTATCCTCCAAGGGTGAGAGTAATGAATGTGTTTAGGTATTTTGCACAGCAGGGCACAAGCCATGCCTTCAGAACATAAACATGCATGCGTGTTATTCAAAAAAGCCATGAATTACAGTTGAGATCCGACATCCATGAACTGCACTGTAACTCATTTGCTATGTTTTCTTGTGTGGGAAAGGTCAGGTTGTGGCTTCCATTGCCCACAACTCCACTTAGAAATGGACAGTGACTTTTAGGATCAAATAAGCCACATAAATTCAATATATTGATCTGCTCTTATTTTAGGCAGAAGCAGAAAAAAAAAAAAGCAATTAATATGAATGAAATGCCAAATTCATACCCTTTGGAAGTCAACAGGAATGGTGCCAGGGACAAAGATTTGGCATTAGAAACAAGAGCAAACCATTAAATAACGGAGACGTTTGTGCTGGCTCCAGGCCCGGGGTGCTGTACCTCTGTTACACAGCACCTGGTTAGCACACAACGTCTCTGAAATGGCTGCCAGCCCCAGACACGCGGCGATGGCTACAGTCACTCGAGACCCAAGGAACCAATTTCCAACCCCATCAAACCTGCAGATGGGCCAAAGGTATAAACGTGGCCATGCAATCACCAGACCGTCGCAGCTCTGAGACAGGTCTTGCCCAAGAAAGTGTGGGTGAGAGGCTGCAGGAGATCCAAGTTCAGCTTCCTGCGTCAATGCCTGTTTAATTAGCTCTACAAGGAAGATCAGCTCTCCTGCAAGACAACCACAGGCAGGACCTCCAACAGCCCAGCTACTAGATGCAGTTCTGAAGAGAAGCCCGTGTTGGAGACCCTGCTCAGCTCAGGATTTTTAAGTTCAGCTTCCCATATTACTAGAAAGAAAATCATCCACAGGCTACTGGGTATCTCTGAGAAGTTGGAGTGGTTCCTCACTTTGAGAAGAATCTCTGCCTGGGGTGCAGAAAACATTCACTGAGGAAAGCACCACCAGAACTGGCACAGGCTTGTAGACATTTTGAATGAACTGAAAATTTACAGCATTAATATTTCACTGGAAAGTCTCTGGCAAGCTCAACACTCATCCTCCAGCGCGTCCCAAAGAAACTGGCTGCCTCTCCCACCTCACCGCACTGGCTCTCTGTTGGACCCAGTAAACGCTGCTATTGCTTTTCCCAGGCCTGTTGGCTGACCTGGCTGGCACTTGACACTCTTCATGCTCTGGCACGTCCCATGGCACTAGGACATCCCAGGGAGAGACCTGTCAGTCTGCATTCACGGCAATGTCGTGCCCGTCCTTGCAGAGCTGCGAGTCCATCCTGTGTCATTCCCTCAACGCCCACCCTCGTGTCACTGTTTGCCTCATTTTACATTCTCATCACTTCCCAGTGGGCATTTCTCTGCAGACAGGACGACAGTAGCGTCCCCCAACAAGGTTTCAAAGACATCACCAAGGAGCCACCACGAGCTGCAAACCTCAAAGGATAGGATGCTTTTGCTCCAAGCCAGGCCCTGCACCCCTGGCGTTAATGGCTCAAACTGACTTGAACCAAACCCTTGTGAGGCCAATGGTCTCACCATGCCTTACAGGAGCTCGGAGGACGCAATTTTAGGTCCTTCTGCATGGTTATGAGTCCACTGTAGGTGAATCCAATGGTGAAGTCCCACGGAGTTTGGGGAAAGTCACTGTTTCCAGCTCAGAAACACAACAGTGTGTTCAGGTCTCTGAACTTTAGGCTCCTACCTTGACCCCCTCCTGAAAAATGCATCAAGAATATCTTTGAGAAGAACAAACAGCCAGAGATACATCCTCCCTTGGTCTTATCTCATTATCCCCCTCCACCCCATGTCCCCTTTAACTCTGTCCAGCACTTCAAGCACAGGTGAGTCTGCTTTTCCCTCTCCTACTCCTTCAAGTCCTTTTTGACATGCACCCTTCGTGCGCAGAGCAGGCTCCCTGGAGAAGGGGCCTGGGTCTCCAAACCATATCGCCCTATGGGAAGCTGTAGACTTTGGTTGTCTTCTCCTATGAGCCCTTGGGCAGGAAACCCACAGCTGCAGGAAGATGGGACTAGCGATCAGGAGGCAAGCAGAGCCGCCTGCCAAAGCCACACTGCAATAGTGACAAGGTGTGAAACGCCTCTCTGAGAGCAAAGGTGCCTTTGGACGCCTTTGGTTTCGTGAATGCAGGATGCCAACATGTTCCACACGGCATACAAGAAGAGACCATAACCTGGCACTCAAATCCTTCTGCCACATCCGCCACAGGAGCAAATTCTTCTTTGATACAACTTTATGTCCCATACACACACAAGTGTATTCCTTTAGCTCCTTGATACGTTTCACCACAGAGGTAGTTGAGTTTCCAGGACAGGTAATTTGCTTTCTGTTCAGTTTAGAAAGTGTTTGAGGATTTTTCAGCTGATCTTATACATATCAGATCAAGGTCAGCACTTATGAGTAGCCAAAAAACCAAGAAATACAGTTTTGCAAATGATACCTAATATATTTCAAGCATGAAAAAAACCAAACAAGCCAAAAAATAAGCTTGCAGAAAGACAGCCACAAATCAAACCATGTCCTGTGCCCTCTTACAGACTTAAGAGAAAGGATGAAAATGTTAAAAATATATTTTCATATATCTATATGAAAAGATCAATAATTCCTCAGGGATAACATTCCTGAAGGGACTACATCTTTTTTAATCACTGCTACAATTCTAGTTCTTCTAAGGGCTGATGTATAGAGAAGTTACTTGCAAACTGAACTCTAATGATAGTGAAGGTACTGCTGGGAAAAAGCCCTTCCCTGTAATATAGTCAAGAAAGCAAAGACAAAGGGGTCCTTAATCTTGCCTTATGTTTTATCTTGCTATTTATAACGCTAAATAGACTCTTGTGCATTTGACAAACTGGGTTTTATGTAACAAAAACACGTGAAAGAACCCTCTAAAGCCTTTGCCCTCTGCTATTCCTCTGCAGCATTGTCAGGAAAGACAGAAAACTACCGGCGCAATTCCACTAAATCAGGCAGTTGGCAACATTTCACTACTATTAACTATCTCACTGACCAAAGACCGCGCTCAGAACATTCCCTCCCTTCTGAGGACACAAACGCGTACACCTTAAGGCCCCGGTTCA